GTAATTATAATTAATTAAATTTTTAATCGTTTTTAAGTAATGTAATAATATAGTAAATTACTAATGTTTATAATGTAATGTTATAATTCATAACTAATTAAGTAATTATATAATCATTAACTATGTAATGCTATAATTAAGTAAGTGATCATAATATAAATGTAATATAATAATATTATATTAATTGAGTAATTATTTTATTATAATGTAATGTTATAATGTTTACAATGAAATGTTATTAAGGTAATGTTATAATTAATTGAATTTCTTATCATTTAATTAAGTATTGTGCTAATGTTATGTAGTAAATTAGTAATTATTAATGTTTAAAACAAAATATCATAACTCATAATCATTAAGTAATCATTTAATTATGTAATGTTATTAATTATATGATCATACTATAATAGATAATGTAATGTATATATAAATTAAGTAATCTACTATAAATAATAATTTAATATTACAATTAATTAAATTTCAAATCATTTGATTATATACTAATGTTTATAATAGAATGTTATAATGATTAAGTAATCATATTGTAAATATATAAGGTAATGTTATAATTAATAAATTTTAATCGTTTAATTAAGTAATGTATAATATAGTAAATTAGTAAATTACTAATGTTTGTAATGTAATGTTAAATTCATAACTAATTATATAATTATGTAATCATTTAACTATATAATATCAATTAAGTAGTGTATATCTTATAGTATATAATAATATTATATTAATTGAGTAATTATTTAAATAAATGTAAGCTTAATAATGTTTATAATGAAATGTTTATAAGGTAATGTTATGATTAATTAAATTCTTATCATTTAATTAAGTATTATGCTAATGTTATGTAGTAAATAGTAATTACTAATATTTATAATATAATGACATCATCAATTAAGTAATTATTTAATTATATAATGTTATAATTAATTATATAATCATACTATAATGTAATGTTATAGTGGAATAAATATTAAGTATCATACTATAAATTTTTAATGTAATATTATAATTAATTAAATTTTTAATCATTTAATTAAGTTTGTACTAATGTTATAATAAAATGTTATAATTGATTAAGTAATTTACTATAAATCTATAACGTAATGCTATAACTAATAAATTTCTAATTATAAATCAATTAATTAACTATTTATTTATGTTTAACTATAAGTCAATTAATTAAGTAGTAATCAATTAATGTAATGCTATAATTAATTATACTATAAATCAATTAAGTAATGTTATAAAATTATAATTAATTAAGTAATCATTTAACTATAATGTAATGTTATAATTGATTAAGTATGATATTTAACTAGTAATTAAATTTATTAATGTTTATCAATTTATCATATATAATTAATTAATTACTAATTTATTATAGATATACTTAGAACTTGATAATTGAAGTAAATAACTAAATATATTATTACTCAATCAAATATACAATTTTATTCAAAAATAATTCTTTTAATAATATTAAAAATGTAAAACACTTTTAATTGGATCATAATTCCAATTATTCACTTAATTGATTAAAACTTTAATATTAATGTATTATAATATATTAAAGCTTTTAATATGGTGTAATTTATATGTAATAAGTATAATTGTATTTGTATATTTATTTAATTAGGTTATTCTAAAAATTCAACTTTTTCTATTTTAAATTTTTTTATATGTAAAATAATAGAAACTCCCCCATTATTTACATTTCACAAATATTTCATTATAGTCCAGGTTCCAAAATAGGTTCTAAACAGGTTCTCCAAACAGGTTCCAAAACAGGTTCTAAAGCAAGTTCCAATAGGTTCCAAAACAGGTTTTAAATCGGGTATCTCCTATAGGTTCCAAACAGGGTACCCTTTTTACAGGTTCTGGTTCCAGTTCCGGTTCCTCTACATGCAAGAACCAGAACCGAAACCGCACAGTAACGGTTCCAAAAAATTGGAACCGGAACCTACCCGCACAGTGCAGGTTTTGGGTAGGTTCCGGTTCTTACCCCCGGTTCCGGTTCTACCTGCTACCCGTGCTCACCCCTACAAAATACATGTGGTAAGTTCACACGGTTTTAGAATTCTGGCCGTCCGCATGTTGGCCTCCACAATAAGCACACACTTTCTCTATATTGTTGATTCATTGATCACCACATTTAGAATAATGTTACGTGCATTAACCAAAATCATACTAACTTAAGTACTAACTGACATGACATATCTTTCTTATTGTCACGTCAGTTCCCCCCAAAAAGTAAAAAAAAAAAAAAAAATTTCAAAATTTCAATTGTTAGTACTTGGATTAAGTATAATTTGGTTAGTGCACATAACATTACTCCTAGATTTATTAATTAAACTATGTTCTTTTTCGGTGAGTTAGGTTTGTGGGACCTCACACTTACGTATTCTGCAACCTCTCTCTACATTTACTAAAAAAAAAAATTCCATGATGGAAAGCTTTCAAATATTTTTAAAAGGGAAATGTTAGATTTACAAAGATTCTTTCTATAAAGTGATGTGACAGTTGTCACACCACTAGTTTCACATCAATCTTCTATTTCTTTTCACAAACTAGTGGTGTAGCAGCTGCTACATCACTTTGTATAAAGACTCTTTGTAAGAGTTTTTGTACATATAGCATTTCTCTTTTTAAAATTTCTTCTTTTAGCATGTTAATGTATCAAGGTTTTGACAACCGAACCTCCTTTTGACCTGATCAAGGGGCCGACAGCAAGTTTTAAACTTAACAAAAATACCCTTATAAAACTGCTTATAAGTCCCTAAAGGTTTAAAATATAGTAAATGCACCCCTATGATATGGTCAAGGAATCGCTAATCAGACTGCGATGGTGGTGATGAACGACTGCCAATCAAAGTTCGGGATGATAGGGGTTTTGATGTGGAGATGAAGGCAATGCCTATGGTGGTGTCAGGTTGGGTGTTTGGGATCGGAACCGAGGAGGAATATACCAATTTTCGCAAAGGAGATAGTGGCGGCAATGACAATCGTCGACCAATCATACTTCGAGATGATGGGGATTTTTATGTTAAGATGAAGGTGATGCCGATGGTGGTGTCAGGTGGGGTGTCTGGCGCCGAAATCAGGGAGATTTGAAATCCAACAAAAACATCCCTAATTAGTTCCTACAGGTTTGAATGCCAGTAAAAAAACCCCTAAAAATTTAATTAGTCCCTACATATTTAAAATCCATCAAAAACACCCCTACAATCTAAACCGGACCAGAGAAGGTGTCGATCACTGGTTCGACCGGTCCGATTTTCATAACACTGTAATGTACAACCTCATCTTCCTAATGTTGGGTGCACAATGTGGTGGTGTTAAATTCTTTTCTTGTACTCGAAAACTATTAACCACAACGATGGGAAAGCTACAACATAAAAGCTTTTATGTGAAACATAGCTTGACAAAATTTACGCACTAATGAAATCGAAGTGACCCAAAATGTATGTTCACGGTTGGGATGGCAACTAGGGGTGTTCAAAAAAATGCAAAAACCGAACCAAACCGAAAAACCAGTTAACTGGTTCAAGGAATTCAAAAAATTGGATTTTAGGTTTGGTTTCCGGTTTGGGTGAAAATGCAAACCGATTAACCGAAACCAATTTTACTAACCAGTTTACTAATATATATATATTGAATTAAAAAAAATAATCTTAATGGATATTATATATTAAAATAAAATAAAAATTACATTAAATTTATTTGTATCAATTTTTAATGTATTGTTTGTTATGGTCAATAGATATGTATGAATGTTTAATTTTTATTTGAATATGTATTGTTGATGTTTACAAATTAGTTCAGGAGAAATAAAAAAAAAAAATAGTTTAATCCAATTTAAGGGGAAAACCAGTTTAAAACTGGTTAATCGGTTTTTTCAAAGCGGTTAACTGGTTTTTCGGTTAGTCGAAAAAACGGTTTTCCCTTAAATCGGTTTAGTTTCGGTCTAAGAATTTTTCTGAACCGAAGAACCGGTTTGGTTAATCGCTTTTGAACACCCCTAATTAGGTTAAGTCTGGATAAACGAATTGGGTAAGTAATGAGTATGGGGTGGGTTTGAGTTACCCACATTCATACCCATATAAAATTTTTAAACAGTTGATAATTGACAAGGGAATTGGTTTGTCTTTTTAATCTTAAGTATGAATGTAACTATTTTTAGTATATTAGATTATTTTAGGTTTGTTTGTTTTTTTGACTTATATCTACGGATGGGTATTGACATGCCAACACAACTTGGTTTAAGCGGACTGGGTTCAGGTTTGAAGATTCAACATGTTTATTAAATGGTTATTGCTAGCTCTAACTCTGTCTCCTCCAAATGAGAAAAGAGTTAGTCTTTGGGTTGTTAATTTTACATGGTTTTATATATCTTTTTGTATTGGGTGAATACCCTCTCAACCAATCCAAGATTCAACACACAATTAGAATAATACAAGCAATTTTACGTGGTTCTGGTGTTAAAAAATCTTACATTCATGTTGAGCTCCACTCTAAACTGTCTGTGCACTTTAAAAAAGAGAATACAATCACTCAAGATTTGGAGAAACCCTATAAATCTTACCCTCAGAGTACTTGGCAAAGTTTAGAACAACTTTCCTCACATGCGATAATGTAACCAAATATTAGATTGAATTATCAAACATTAATGTTCTTTTTGTAACAATAAAACTATATCATGGTTTAAATACTTTTTGAATATTTAAAAAGTTAATTGTTTGTATTTTTCAATTTATGTTGGGCTACCTAACAATTCAAATCCTGGCTCCGGCCCATTCCACTCATGGGCTTGGGGTGGCCATGAGAGGTGAGTGAGCAACACCTTGAGGTAAGTGAGTGAGTATTTGCAATTCTTGAGGGTCTTCCCATAATAACTTAAACCTTAAGGGTTCTTAGAAAATAAAAAAAATTACTTCCGTCCCCCTCAGGCCTAAGGGCTTAACTGAATAGTTATGAAGACTTTAAAAATAAATTTAACCTCAAAATTTATTTGTGTGGGCTCTTTTCATAAAATTTCTGCCTTTGACGATCGAAGACCAATTCTCCCTCGCAAGCCTGAGTGAAGTTCTGAAGCTCCAGCGCTTTGATGGTAACTTTCTCTCTTGCTTGCTCTCTCAATCTAAAATTTAATTTCTTTCTATTCAACCTTTCTTAAGTTTAGGATTTACTCAATTTTGACTGTTTATCTGTGAATTCTTAAATTTAAGCTTGCTAATTAGCTTTGATATTTGTAATAATTTAACGTTTCAATGTGGTTCTTGGAATTCTTGTAGGTATCGTTTTGACTTCTGTTCATGTTGTTGTGATGGCTACAACTAGGTTTTCAATGCTGAAGTCACTTAGTAGTTACATTAGCCCCTCTGTGAAACAGACAGCAACTTCACTTCAGTCTTATAACCCATACTTGAAACTTACAAGATTTGCTAATCAAAGTCATGTCAAGCTATCTTACCCTCTTGTGAATAGCAATTACCACAAAAGTCAGTTGCATTCCGCATTGAATTCTGAAAATATCCAACCTAGGATTCTTGGTTTTTCCTCTGATACTCGATGTTACAAAACCAACCGTGTCTCAGTATTTTCACCCACGTTAACAAAATTGTACTCTGAGACATTGTACTCTCATAGTTCTATTGCTTTTGGTTCGATTCCGTTTTTAAACCATCGATCATATTCATCGTTTTTTGGGGGCAAAGGTGATAAATCGACTAGAGATATGGATGTTCCAGCTACTACTAGCGGTAGTGAAGTTGACGTTAATAATAGTGATATCGTCGAAGGTGATTCAATTGATAAAATTAAGGATGCGTGGCAGAGTATAGTAGATGGAGTAAATTATACTGGAGAAAAGGTTAAAGTGGCATATGATGAACTGACTCCTTATGTTCAACAAATGCTTGATTTGCATCCGTATCTTAGGGATGTTGTTGTCCCAATTGGTGGGTACTTGATTGGTTCTATATTGGCTTGGGTGGTGATGCCTAGGATTTTGAGGAGATTTCACAAATATGCCATACAAGGTCCTGCTGCTTTACTACATGGAGGCTTGTTTGGAGACCAAGTTCCTTATGAGAAAAGTTTTTGGGGTGCTTTGGAGGACCCCATACGATATCTTATCACTTTCATGGCATTTGTTCAAATGTTAGTAGTTCCAAATTCAGTATTTCCCTTTCTATAATGTTTTAATTGGCACTTTTTTTGTTTTCCATGGTGTGATAAAACATGTTTTTTACATTCAGTGGCATGATGGTGGCTCCAACAACAATAGCATCACAATACCTTGCACAAGCATGGAGAGGAGCTGTTATCCTTTCGTTTGTGTGGTTTTTGCATCGGTGGAAAACAAACGTCTTCACCCGTGCTTTAACTTTTCAAAGTTTGGCGGGGATTGACCGGGAAAAGATGTTAACTCTTGACAAACTTTCATCAGTTGGTTTGTTTGTTATTGGAGTAATGGCTTTAGCAGAGGCATGTGGAGTGGCTGTGCAATCTATCTTGACTGTTGGTGGCATAGGAGGTGAGCGTTTGTTGGTGGCATATTCTCCTTCTCTTTTTTCTTTTGGTTCATTAATCCTAATGAGAAGGATCTTCCAATAATCAAAATTTTAAAACAAACCAAACTTTCTTATTTTACTATCCTTCGGTTTTAGGCTGAAATTATAGGAGCTCGAATATTTTACTGAAATTTGTAGCACTGATTATTAGTCATGAATACCTTGCGATCTAATGGATTTGAAAGGAAAGTTGAAATTGGTTAGTTTTTGTCATCTTAACAACTTCTAACATTGAATTGCAATGAATTGATGTTTATAAATTAATGCCAAAACTTTTAACTCAAATATTAGTTACTATAGCATAACTCTTTATTTCATTCTCTGTTGCTTTTTATAAATTACAGCTTGCTATACGTACATTGTTTTATTCCCAAATTGCATATCTCCTAACCAGTCCACCATGCATTAAGGGCTCACTCCTTTTATCTCTAGAGTGGGTAGAATAAGCATGTCTGAGCAATTCATTTTAAAGTATAGGACTCTGTATCAATTTTAAAAGTCGTCCAATCTTTGTTAACAATGTTCATTTATGTGTCTTCTTTTCTTCCTTTTTTTTTTTTTTCCTTTTTCGTTTTCCTTGTTCTCTTTAAATGAAAGGGCTAATCTTCTGCTATGTCTTTAGAACTCTATTAATGAACTATCTTAATCTGTATCAATCTGTCCTACACCTTAACAATTCATTATTATTAATATTTTTGGGACCTGCTGCTCTTTCACCTTTAACATCGTGAACTTTTATAGTTATATGAAGACTCTTAAGCAACCACTTAACATAAAAGCTTAAGGTATCAGTGGGACATTGCATTAAAATTTAAATCTAATCGGCCTCTTTACTTGTAACTTGCACCAAGTAGATGGGTTGAGCCCGAATACTAGATGGGTTAAACCAACCCTAGTTATAATAGATTAACTAATTACAATGCAAAAACGTTACATGTGAGGACTTGAACTCATGATCTTTAGTTTCTAATATTACGTTAAGCAGCCATTTGGCTGAAAAGCTTAAGTTATCATGTAAGAGCCCAACATTCAAATTTAAGTCTACCAATGATTTGTTATAGTGTACTTGATAAACCATGACTACTTTAAAATAGTGCTCATAGAGAATTACCCACCTGGTCAATTCTTTGGTCTCATAACTTTTCAGTTCTCCCCTGTTTTCATGCCTATAGTTTCTACATCAAGGAAATGTTGTGTTTGTGGTATGTTCTGTTATCAATCTTAACCAAAACTGAAATCTCCATTGTTGTGTTGTTTACTGCTTATAAGATGCTTGTGTGTAATATATCTTTATGCATCTGAGGGCAATATATTAGATTCTTAATGTGCTTTTGACACTTTCTATTTATTTGTATTGTTTTACAAAATTGTGAAGGATTGATTTAATAGACCGTCTCAACTTTTATATGGATATAAATGGAAGATGTTAAATTTCGTTGTTGGTGTATATTAAGATTGACTCTTCTATCGCTATATTTTTCTGTAGGAGTGGCTACTGCTTTTGCTTCTAGAGACATCCTTGGAAATGTGCTCAGTGGGTTGTCTATGCAATTCTCAAAGCCTTTTTCACTGGGAGATACTATAAAAGTAAGTAAAACTTTGCCACATCATTGATGGTGATTCTAATTAATTCCTTTTAACCAAAAATGAAAAAAAAAAAAAAAAAAAAAAATCCTTTTAGATTTGTTAAGTTTTCATCTAATAGTGCTGATAATGGATGGAAAGAAGTACTTTTATTTATCTGATGTAATGTCTCTGCTTAAGATTATAGTTGATCCTAGTATGTTGGGAGTTGAACTGTTACAAATTGTGTGTAAATGAATTTTTTATTTATTAATTTTATGCTTATTCTGAATGGAAGAAAACTGAGGTCTTATTTGCTAACATTTTTGGCAAGGTTTGTTTTATCTTTTTATTTATTNCCTGAATCGAATATTCTTGTTAGGCTATGGAGGTACTCGGTAACCGAACCGATTGTTGAAGTACTTGGTTCTAAACCAAACCAAATTTTTGGTTCGGTTACCGGGTACCCGAATTTCGAACTAAGTTTGCATAGAGTTGTTCAATAAAATTTGAGTCCTACGATTAATACAGGTTGAATTCCTCTGAGCAGACAAAAAGAAAAAAGGGGAAATTTGCAATTTTACATAGTGTTTAAGATCAATGCAAAGAGTTCCTAGTCACAGTTCTCAATAATTCTAGTTCCATTTTTAGAGTAAAAACAAGATAATAGTTTTCAAACCCAAAAAAAATACATGAGAGACAAAATATTATTATCTTATGCTTGTCAAATGCATAGGGGATAATGAATCTACACCCAATAGTTTTCACCATCTCCCTCTTGACCTTTGCCTTTAACATTCACAACAAGACAAGTGTACAAAAAGGAACAATAAGTGAATATATTTAGTTGCCGAGAATCTTCTAGCTAAGATAAACACTTGAAAGCATCCACACACTCAACATCAAGACAAATAAGCAAGAAAACCTTGTTTCGATTTGGATGAAAAAATATAAAAGAAACAACAATCAGAACATGACATTCATTATTTCATTTTCAATCAATGCTTAACCAAACGCAAAAAAAAATTCAGATTTTTAGTATAGCGAAGTTATTTGAAGATTTGAACATGCTACTTCACCTTAGTGAATAGCGGCAAAATAGGAAGGACTGAGGTTGTCACTTAAGGATTGACGAGCATGGACCGATGAGTGACTACCTGCTGCAGCGAGGACATTGGAAGACGGTGAACTAGAGAAGAAGTCGAGCTTCGAGCAAAAGATGATGAGCTATTTATACCTTGGAGGACTGTAGTCGAATTTAATTGATTTGGGATTTAATGTTTTCTCTGGCTTTAGTCAAAGAAGAAGATGATTAGGGCTTTAGTCGAAAACTGGAAATGTGGAAGATGATTCATATTAGGTCATCGAACTTGATATGTGTAACTTTAACAAACTAACTTTTGTTTTTGACTTTTTGTTTTATTTATTTTTCAATTTTTTAAAAAACCGGGTCTGTTTAGGTGCTTGGTTTACTTATTTCATTGAACCGATACCCGAAATTGAATATTCGGGTATATTCTAAAGCATAACCTCTACTCGAACCGAATTTGCCATTATCCAAATTTTTTGGTTTGGGTAATGGGTAATTTTGCACACCCCTAGACGAAAATGCCCATTCCTCTAGGCTCTGCAACAGCCGCCAACTTTTACAAAAGTCAGCAGATTTTCTGAGATTTGGTCCAATGACTCTCTTACTCTTTAAGTCAACTCTAGGTATAAAAATGAAGATTTTTTGAAGTGAAAAACAAGAAGAGAACCGTACAAACAAAAATCTATCTTTCTTGCAAACCTAAGAGCTCAAATATAGAACATCATACTCACTCTCTCTTTGTACTCCTACTTTACATCTTTAGAGAGAAATTTGTAGCCCATTGTGTGTACCAGCCTAGCTTGAAGGCAATCATTCACAACAATCGTTTTACATCTTTAGAGGCAAAATCTTATAAGTCTAGAGGTGAAATCCAATCAAAACTATTGTATTGGTTAAATCCCATTCTAATGGAACTTCGAAGACACTGCCTTGAAGATGTGGATGTAGGAGGTTCTTGATCAAAGCTTCGAGCCACTATAAATTCTCTAAGCATCTCTCTTCCCTTATCTTATTTAATTTATTGCACATGGAATGCTTGAATTTATTGCTATTTATTGTTTTAAGCATTGAAGTAGTTGAAGTTTTAAATTCTGCATTAATTTTAGTTATAAGGTTTTACAAAATATGCTCTGTAAAACCCTATATGGAAAATTAACCCTAGAGGAGGAGGGAGGGAGGGGGGGGGGGGGGGGGGGGGGGGGGGGGNTAGGCATAACACATTCTATAAGAAAATGCAACGTGGCTCAATATTATATACTAAAAGTAATTGTAGGAACCTGACTCTCTTTAAAGATGATTCCTGTTAGTCGTTAAAGACTTGCAGGTAGAAACTGTAAAACAATGGTAGTTCACAAAGTTAGTTCGGGAAACAAATAATCTATACCTTCTTTGTTTGGTGAGTCCATAGAGAAAATATTTGTAACCCCTCCATGTAACTTGAAACTGAATTACTGCACAAAATTTCTGAATAATTAACTAATAACTACACTGTAAAGTTGTTGTTAACACCAGGTACCCATCCATGTATTTAGGATTCTTCCTATGGGTATATATACAACAACTTGTTAAGAAGATGAATGAAATTTCATCCAGTAAATATGTTCAATATATCACCATGTGGGCCAGCAGCTGCAACGACACTCAACTAACTAAATTTGACAGAGATATTTAGAGCAACAGATCTTAAACCACAAAATACATTTACAGATTCAGCAAGAAACAATGGAAGAATCTGCACACGAGATCAGGGCCCCTCTAAGTAACCTTCCTCTCACTTCTTTAATTCACTTTGTATTTGAAAGTTTATTTTTCTTGTTCCAAGTCTCTTATTTTCACTCTCTCTTGATTACTCTTGTTGCAGTTTCTAAGGATCATGAAGATACCAACATCGCATCATCATCATCATCATCATCAAAATCCCAACCAGAGATTATTGAATTGCTAGAACCTGAAGAGAACTCACCCGTCAAACAAGTGGCTTTAACCGTACCAACCACAGATGACCCTTCTTTGCCAGTTCTCACATTTCGAATGTGGGTCTTGGGAACCCTCTCATGTGTTCTCCTATCGTTTCTAAACCAGTTCTTTTGGTACCGCACAGAACCTCTATCAATCACAGCCATTTCAGCTCAGATTGCTGTGGTGCCTCTCGGTCAACTAATGGCTGCAAAAATCACAGACCGTGTCTTCTTTAAAGGGACACGTTGGGAGTTTACGCTTAATCCTGGACCTTTCAATGTAAAAGAACATGTTCTTATCACCATCTTTGCCAATTCTGGAGCTGGCAGTGTTTATGCCATTCATATTGTTACTGTTGTTAAAGTCTTCTATAAGAAACACATCTCCTTCTTTGTTTCTCTCCTAGTTGTCTTCACAACACAGGTATTTTAAATGATCAAATTCTTCTATAAGAATTCACAGACCCTTCTTTGTTAAATTAGTTGAAGACAAACTTTGGAATGTTAGCTAGATTTAATGACGTTTGAATGGTAGGTGTTGGGATTTGGTTGGGCTGGGATATTCAGAAAGTATCTGGTGGAACCAGCAGCAATGTGGTGGCCTGCAAATCTTGTTCAGGTTTCTTTGTTCAGGTAAACTCTTGTTTCACTTAGTTAACTTGTATTAATTTTTCATTTCATGTCTTTGGTATTTTCTGTCAAATTTTCTGATGGAGATATACGAGGACTCTGGTGAGTTTTTAAGAATGTATACATTATTGGTCAACTTGATGGTAACATTAGACATTTTTTTTTTTAATAAAATTAATTTTAAAAAATGGGTAAAAGGTTGTGTTTATACTCTGGGCTTATTTTATGCCTCATTTGTTGGGTTATAATTTCAGTACTACCGACGTAACACTGATTTCAAGTTTCAAACCTGTCATTTTATAGTAATTAGGGGCGTGCAAATTTTGAGGGTAGAATTGGGACTGATGGATACCCGGGTGTTGGTTCTGGTTCAAAATTTGGTGAATCTGTGCAGGTCTGATCCCAATTTCGATTCCATCACTTTAGGAATCGGACCTGGTATTGACAAGTACCCAAGGTGGAACTGAAGGTACTTGAAGTATATTTGTAATTTATACAGAATATATTTGTTATTTTTTTGAACAAGAGAGGTGTCTTTGTAATTTTGCATGAACAATGTTGGGTACTAGACAGTAGACCCAGGATCAGAACCTGTTTCCAGGCATTTAAGAATCGGAACCGATCGATCCAATTCCTAAATCCTAGGAACAACCGAGTCCAGGTTCGGGTTCAATTCTGGTTCCAAGGGATTGGACCGGGTACCTGGATCGGCTCACCCAATAATGCCTTGAATGCTTGTCACCTATAAAACGATTTGAAAAAAAAAAAAAAATAAATAAAATCCACCAGCTATAAGTAAGACTTAAGACTGTAGTAAATAATTTCAGGTACAAGATTTCCAAGTTTAGCTGGGCCGAAAACTTTGTAACTTTCATGAATAAAAAATTCGCAGTGTACGTACGTAGAACGCTCCTATTAGGAACAGGGCTTCTTGGGCTTGAAACCTTCTCAGACAATACATTATTTTCTGTTGCAGGGCTTTGCATGAGAAAGAGAAACGGCCCAAGGGTAGTCTGACACGTACCCAATTCTTCCTCATAGCTTTTATTTGCAGCTTTGCTTATTATGTCTTCCCAGGCTACCTCTTTGAAATGCTAACTTCCCTCTCCTGGATATGCTGGATATTCCCCAAATCTGTTTTGGCCCAACAGCTTGGCTCTGGCCTTTACGGGCTCGGAATTGGTGCACTTGGAATTGATTGGTCCACTATCTCGTCCTACCTTGGAAGCCCCCTTGCAAGCCCATGGTTTGCCACTGCCAACGTTGCTGCAGGATTTTTCTTTGTCATGTATATTTTGACCCCTATATGTTATTGGCTTGATGTCTACAAGGGCAAAACCTTCCCTATATTTTCTGACGACCTTTTCACATCAACTGGTCAAGAATACAACATTTCAGCCATTATTGACTCTGATTTTCACCTGGACATTGCGGCTTATGAGAAACAAGGGCCTCTTTACTTGAGCACATTCTTTGCCATGACTTATGGTGTTGGATTTGCTGCACTTACTGCTACAGTTGTTCATGTTGCATTGTTTCATGGAAGGTAATTTTAAACTCTCATATAAATCAATTAATTGAGTAATGTTACATTAATTTGACCATGATGTGAATAAAAGCTCAATTCACTTATGCAATGGTGAAAATGCAGAGAGATATGGGAGCTGAGCAAAGCGAGTTTTCAAGAAAAAGGAATGGATGTACATACTAAACTCATGAGGAGATATAACCAAGTCCCTGAGTGGTGGTTTGTTTGCATTCTTCTGGTAAATATAGCAGCCACTATTTTTGCTTGTGAGTATTACATTGACCAGCTTCAGTTGCCATGGTGGGGTGTTGTACTAGCATGTGTTATCGCTATTATATTCACCCTTCCCATTGGAATCATTACAGCCATCACAAACCAGGTAAACTACTGAAGATTTTGATAACTTCCTGTACAAGTAATCAATCTCCTATAACTTGTTGATATCTGCAAATATTTTTCTAAAACATTTTCTTTTCATTGTTTGGATGACATGTTGATCTCTTGCTGATGACAGACACCGGGCTTGAACATTATCACAGAATACATAATTGGGTATATTTACCCAGGGTACCCAGTTGCTAACATGTGCTTCAAGGTGTATGGTTACATAAGTATGACACAGGCCATCACCTTCCTGCAAGACTTCAAGCTTGGCCACTATATGAAGATTCCTCCAAGAACAATGTTCATGGCACAGGTTAGTAGCCTATATAACTATAATCCCAGACTCTATTTCATTATTTTTTGAATTAAAAGGTTTTCAGTATAACAACTCTTGAAATCTGCTTAGATTGTAGGAACTGTCATAGCCTGTTTAGTATATTTGGGCACTGCGTGGTGGCTAATGGAAACAATCACAGATATCTGTGAGACAACAGCCTCCAACAGTGTGTGGACTTGCCCAAGTGACACTGTCTTCTATGATGCATCAGTCATATGGGGACTGATCGGACCACGCAGAATTTTCGGAGATTTGGGGACTTACGAGGCCATCAATTGGTTTTTCTTAGCTGGAGCAATTGCTCCAATGCTGGTGTGGTTGGCCGCGAAAGCATATCCAAACCAAGAATGGATTAGACTCATCAACATGCCAGTGTTGATTGGTGCCACAGGGATGATGCCACCAGCGACTGCAGTTAACTACACTACTTGGATTATTATGGGTTTCCTTTCTGGATTTGTTGTGTATAGATATCGACCAGACTTGTGGCAGCGTTACAATTATGTTCTTTCTGGGGCATTGGATGCTGGACTTGCATTCATGGGAGTGCTAATATATTTTTGCTTGGGCTTAGAAAGTGTAAGTGTTGATTGGTGGGGAAATGACCTTGATGGATGCCTATATGCTACCTGCCCCACTGCCAAAGGAGTTGTGGTTGAGGGCTGCCCAGTTTTCAGCTAGAAATTGTATATTGCAAATAAGAACCCATGAGTTTAGTTTTAGTTTCTTGTTTCTGATTTTTCCCTTCACTCCTTTTATATTATAGTGTTGGAGAGATCATTGGCTTCCAATTCTTTGTATAAAATTAAGCAGCTGAATCAAAATTCACTTATTTGCTTATATTTCTTACCTTTGATGTTAGAGACATTAAGCTAAGTTTGCATACATAGGAGTATTGATAGAACCCCAGGACAATCACTCAACCACGTAACCAATAAACTAAAAAATGCACAGACAACTCAAGGATTATTTCCAAGGCAAAACTGGATTGATTCTAATTGATTGTGATTAAGAAATAAAAGGCAGTTTACAGAGCAGTGCTCAGCTACAATGAAATGAAAATAAGCAACAAATAATTCCCAGCAGTTCGAGGACACAATTGATAATATCCTATCTTTTCAAGAAATGGCTCTCCCTTTTATACATGAATCAGCTTCTAACTAATTGGTTCACACGTCACATGCCTCAAGCCTTCCTCCACTAACGCATGCCTTTTCAACTCAGTTAGTGGCTTTTTACCCTTGTGCCCTCTGTGTTGGTAAACCTTCTTGATGGTGTCTGTCAGCTCCCAGGTGGCTTCATGTCGCACCGGTCGTCAGAACCACAAAATTAAACCTAAATACCGTAGTTAGCGGTAAGCAGAGTCGAATCCACAGAGAGCAAGACTAATGACATAATGTATATTTGAGTTAACGAAAGAGAAATTGGCAAAATGATTGATTAAAACTAAGGAAACTAATTAATTGCAGGAAATTAAAAGCATCAAATAAATTGCTAACTAAAACACAATATTAAAAGCGTTGCCGCTATGGGTTCGGTTTGACTCAAGACTAACTCTCACAATTCCTCTCCTCGCTCTTCAATTTCCTAAACCTACAAGGCTAGGCAAATCAATAAAAATATCTCCAGGCAATCTTGTTATAATCTATCCTGTCTCCCCATCGTCTTAGTTACAGATCGATTGGTTAAAGATTATCATCGACTAACCGAAAAAATGCTAAACCCTTAAACGCCATTAGTTGGTACAACGTTAACAAGTACAACCTATCAACTTGTATCATCCAATCAACTAATTGCACAACAAATGCATTCCTAGTAGAAATGATATTAGACGCTAATACAACTTGATTGCAATCAGTACCGAAGTAGTTTAAAGTCATAATCAACATTCAATAATCTCAAACCGACATTCAATTATGCGAAAAGTTATATATCAATAAATGTTCTCAATGCGCATTATCAATTCAGCACGTCGAGCATCAGAATAATATTAAAGCATCGCAAACAAACTGAAACGAAAACAAATATAATCTGAATACAAGAAACTTAACCAAATGTCCAACATTCGGGCTCATCCAACTAGTCGAGAGTTGATGAGGAAAGCAATGGAGTCAATCTCGATCTCACCTACACCGTAACAGACAATCGAGAACTCAACCGCTCATGGTGGTGTCGATGGAGGCTAAAACAGTGGAAACAAAGCTGATCATGGTGGAGAGGAGGTAACCGACAATGATATGATGCGAAGAAGGGGCCAAAACGACTGACGGACAGCCTGGAATACAAACAGTCGCACTCGCCAGAAAACGTTAATTTTTGGACAGGTCTTCCGAAAAATGGTGGCGAAAATGGGATCCGAAGGTACCAATGGAAAGCTCTGGTGATGGGAAGTTCAGATCAGGTCTTAGGGAGATGAAAGGTCATCAGAAATGAGCGATATCACGGCTGGAAGATGAAGAGGCGCGACGGCGATTTGGCAGATTCTGGCGGTTTTTGCGGAGGCTGAAGCTTGCAAATGCTAGATCTGGCCGTGGGGAGGGAAGATCAGCCACCACGGAGCCCAAGAGTCACCGAAAAATGCCAAAATCACAGTTGGAATGTGAAGAGTTGTGGCGGCGGTGATGGTTATCACGGTGGTGATCCGGGATGATGAAGATGATAGGTGCAATTGGAATACGAAGGGTCGTCGGAATCTGATCGGAGAAGGTGAAGGGTTTTGGTGGGCGGCAACCACCCAATCTGCGACCGTACGCTGCATTTTTATACAAAATGTGGCAAATTTTTATTTGGTCCCTACATGATTGAAAAGCGACAAAATCAACCTCTTGAAACATGACATTTTACCCCCCTAAACAACATAAATGAGACAAAATCACCCCTAATCCATAAACCAAAACCTAATATCAACTCATACCATTTCCAAATTCATCCCAAATATGCTAAATTAGGAAGAAAAACTCAAAATATGATTTTTATACATAAATTCATAATTTCTCTTAATTATCTCAATATAACTTCAATTCAATTACATATGAGATCTTTTTATTAACAAAATAGAGTCACTTTTATGACTCTAACACTTCAAATGGGGCTAAGTCTTTCCACTTAATAAGGACTTCCTAAGAGCCATTCACCAATGTGCGGACTGCCAAAACAGATTTCGGCTGTACCTGCAACTCCATGTCCTCGGTGAGGCAAGATGGTAGAGGTTGGATGGGAATCGAGTTGTGCAGGCTACGCTTGAGCTGGGATACGTGAAAAAGGGGATGTATTTTGGCTGTTGAAGGCAGCTCCAATTTGTATGCAACCTGTCCAATTTTTTCCAAAATGGGAAATGGTCCATAAAAACGTAGGCTCAACTTTTCGTTGAGTTTAGAAGCCAAGGACCTGAAGCGGTATGGCTGAAGTTTTAAAAACACTTGGTCTCCCGGTTGAAAATTAACATCCTGGTGATGGGCATTCGCCTAGCAGGCTGACCTTGGGCCCGGACTGCTACCCCAAGGAAAGGAGATCCGCGAAGTCACCCAAGGGGTAAAAAGGCTAGCGTGGAGCCCACGCAGTAAGGCTTAGTGGGTCTCCTAGAGGGTCGAGAAGGAGAGTTGCTGACAAGCTTCTAGGGTCTGACAGGCTTCTAGGCGAAGTAAGACCCAAAAAGAGGGCAATAAAGGCTGATGAGGGTGGGGTAGCCGATAAGGGCGAACGCTCTATGGAAAGAAGACCAACGAAGGCGTTGGGTCTTGAAACATGGGAGAATGTTAGGATCCTACATTGAAAGGGAAAAGGGTGGACATGTGGGTTATAAAGGCTTGGGCACCCTCCCTTGGCAAGCCGGTTTTCCAAGGAGAGTTCTACCCAAGCCCATGAAAGACCTCTGGCTTAGCCCAAATTATTGAGTTATTGGAGTGAATTCCTATCAATTTGTATTAGAGCCAAGGTTGGGGAACGATAAAAGCAGAAATGTGGAAAAAGATATGAGATCGATGAAGGAAGATTTGGGAACGATCAGAAAGTGCTTAAAGGAAATGCCAGCATGGATGAGGCGAAAAGATGAGGAGGAAACCAAAGGAGTTAAGATGGATGGGTCAACAGAAATACCGGTGAAACATAATCGAAACCAAGGGGAAGAGAACAGTGAACCTAATGCAAACTAGAACGGAAAAGCCATAGCTACTAAACGAAATCGACCAGAGTCCGGGGGCCAGAGAATCGAAATACCGATATTCATGGGGAAGGATCTGTACATTTGGTTATTCAGGATGGAAAGGTATTTTAAGGTGTATCAGGTGGCTGAGAACGAAAGGATGAACACGGTGGAGATGTGTATGGAGGGAGATACAATAAATGGGTTCTAGTGGATGAAAATCAGAGCTTCGGTAACGATGTGGCCGACTTTTAAGCTTCCTCTTCCTCATAGATTTGGTGGGTCACAAGAGGGAGGGCCTTATGAAGCTTTAATGGAAATCCGGCAGACTGACACGGTGGAGGAATATTGTTGGAGATTTGAAGCTTTGTCTGCACCTTTGTGTGAAGAAAAAGAAGAAATATTATGGGTTGCTATTATCAATGGGCTCAAACAAGATATTAAGGCTGAAGTGAGATTGAGCCAGCCCAATTCATTGCTACAGCTTATTGAGTTAGCCGAGAAAGTAGAGGAAAAGAATTGGGCTTTTGAAGAAATGAAGTTTGGGCTTAATAGAGCTATTAAACCAGTTGGGCTGTATGGGTTTAATAGAGGAATTATTTCAGTTGGGCTGGGTAAACAAGGGTTAGCAAATACGAATGTCGAATTGTCATTTCGCCAATCCAAACTTCCTTACCACTTGGTCTGATGATAAACTTCTTGATAGACTCCATTAATTCCTTGCTCTTTAATGTCTGGCATCCCAGGATGATGCTTTTCCTTGTCAAGTTGAGCTGGTAATGAGGTCTGGCTGGAAGCGATAGTAATCTGGTTCATCGTCTTCCCTCATGTTGTGTTCTTACCTACAGACATTATGAGCATGCAACCATCCCCTTTAATCACATTTGCACCGTAGAAGAGGAAAGGGTTTTCCTTGAGTTGTCTGTGTATTTTTTGGTTTATTGGTTGTGTGGTTGAGTGATTGTCCTGGGGTTCTATCACATAATGATTGATTGAGAAATAGCAATCTGCTCTGAAGGTCCATCCATAGGGATCTTCCCCATTAAACACTGGTAACTCTAATTTTTTTCCCTTCCTTTCTTCCTTAGAGCTCTCGGTTTCTTTACTTCAATCCACTTCGCCATTGTCATCGCTATTTGAGCTTTCCCCCATATTTGATTTGCCCCGATCATGACTAGTGTGGGCCTCCTTCTCTTTGATACCATTGATGGGAACCTCTGTCAATTTAAAATAAACCCAGCCACAAAATAGTCCAAAATGCAAAATATGGCAATTCCTTTCTAGAATTAAAACTATATTGTATTGATTGAATAGAAATGAGATTTTAACTAAACAAAATAGAAACAGCAACAAGCCAAAGAACAGATAATTTCCATCAGTTCGAGGAGCTGGGGACCTCCCTTAATGACCCTTTGAAAACATGCCTATCCTTCCCTAAACTCCCCTCCCTTTATATACTAATCCCTTAACTAAAATATTCCTCCCACTAACAACTTGATTCCCCATCACGTGAATATTTCCCAACCAACTCCTACTAGTACACATGCCCACTCACACAACCAGCACCCTACTGCCCTTATGCCCTTTATATTGATAGATTTTACTAATGGGAGGTCTCATCATTACCCACCCCTTGAAGAACCACCTTGTCCTCAAGGTGGGGAGATGAAAAA